GTCTGTCTGTCTGTCTGTCTGCCTATGTTTGTCTGTCTGTGTTTGTTTATTTGTTTGTTTGTCTGTCTGGCTGTCTGGCTGTCTGTGTTTTTCTGCTTGTCTTTCTGTGTTTGTTTATTTGTCTGTTTGTCTGTCTGACTGTTTGTCTGTCTGACTGTTTGTCTGTCTGTCTGTCTGTCTATCTGTATTTGCTTGTTTTCTTGTCTGTTATATACGTGTGTTTGACACCTAACACCTATCTTTACACCTCTCTTCCTGCAGACGAGGACAACTGTGCTGGTAATCCATGTCTCAATGGAGGAACGTGCCACGACAAAGTCAATGACTTCTCGTGCAACTGTGCAGCTGGGTACTCAGGAAAAACGTGCGCTTCAGGTTAGCCAAACATTTCCCCAAACTCTGTTAGTTCAATTCTTGGTCAAGTTATACAAGCATGATGCTTTCTGGTCTACCTTGGGTATACAAAACTGTCTAGACCACAGTGCACTTTGTCTTGGTTAAGTAGCTCTGGCGAGATTAGATGTTTGTACTCAAGCTAGACCGGAATGCACCATGGTCTCTACCCTTGTCTTTGGTTTCCCTAGCTCACGCGACATGAGAAATAGATGTTTCTACCCAAGCTAGACCAGAATGCACCATGGTCTCTACCCTTGTCTTTGGTTTCCCTAGCACACGCGACATGAGAAATAGATGCTTGTACCCAAACTAGACCAGAATGCACCATGGTCTCCACCCTTGTCTTTGGTTTCCCTAGTTCAGGCGACATGAGAAATAGATRCTTGTACCCAAACTAGACCAGAATGCACAATGGTCTCCACCCTTGTCTTTGGTTTCCCTAGCTCAGGCGAAATGAGAAATAGATGTTTCTACCCAAACTAGACCAGAATGCATCCTGTTCACTTTCTCAAAAAGACGTTTCATCTCCTCTTCATCGCAACTGTTAACTTTCACCCTTTAAAAAATCTATTCTTATTTTTATTAAGGCTAACTTCTGGTTTCTTTTTTTTTTTTTTTTTTTTTTTTTTTTTTTTTTTAACTTTTTTTTTTAAGATAATGATGACTGCGCATCAACACCTTGTAAGAACAATGGCGTGTGTATCGACAAAGTCAACAGCTTCTCGTGCAATTGCGCACCTGGTTGG